CTTGCTCGATATCGTTGGTGCTCACTTGCTTTGGTGGACTTGGCATGAGAGTGATGAACTCTACAGCGCTAAGATTGTGGGGTAATTAGTTACGACGTTACTCATTTCATTCAGTGATACTTTGCAGGTTCCTATAGCCAGCAGCTTTTGGATACTTTCTGAGACGGCGTGCATTGGCTTGTCTATGCTCTAACACGGACTCGATCTACGCTTCTGATTTCCACCCTCATGTTCTTGTTGGTTCCCGTCCTTTTCAACATCCCTTTTGCGGTGCTATATCATCCCATTGAACAATATGGTCGACCTGATGTTGCATTATATCTGATGGAAGCCATAGGAGTTATCGCGGCGCTCGGGCTTCTCGCTGGTCATCACTCCACCAAATGTTCTCGACACTTGTTCGGCATCGCTGTGGCCTTCGTTCTGATTCATCTCGTCATTTTACTGGTCGATCGAAGCGAAATGCCTCATAAGCTGAGATATTCCTACGGCCAGCCGTTCGTTTACCGGGACTGCCAGGGTGAACAAGAGACTGTCTTCTGGGGTACTATGACGAGAGATCGTTTCCTTTGTCCTGCTAAGATGAGCGCGGAAAAGCTTTACACGCTCAACTGCCTCGCCGAGATGCCAGTTGAGGGGAAATGGTATTGGCTGTGCGGTGTAGGGATGACTTTCGAAGTTTTCATTCGAATAATCGTTGAGTTTCTGAAGTCCTTGGTCTTGTTGTTGTTGATTTATGTCGCTAAAGGCAACGAGAAGCGAAAAGCTGACTGAGTCGACGGATATTTTCCTTTTTCGAACTTTCTGATTAACGTGTGATTTCGAATCAGTGATTTGCGTTAGGATACTGTCAATCATACTCAGCTTGCTTACATTGCAAGTCCCATTCATCGACAAGAGTGACCTCAGAAGGTATTGTACAGTGGTTTAGAGCACGAAGGTCCGAAAGATGGCACGAAACTGACTGTAATGGTGTCAGCCACCAATTCAAAAACCTCCCCGCGGTCGAAAACCCTCGATGGGATATGTAGTTGACGCAGTATGTGGAGAACTTTCTACGATATTACTACAGCGGTATCTCTGTTTAACATGTGAAATTAGCTCACCCTTATCATGCGGACGTTTCTATCGAAAACTCTCTGGAACGCTAAGTGATAGCACACTCACTTATCGACTAACATTGGCCGATAATGAACGAGATCCACAAGGCTGGATAGGGCTGCCCAATCTGTGGACTACCCGGAATCGGAGTTGTTTCGTTCGAGCTGAATAGGGGTATTGAGGATTAGGAGGCATCGCAGGGGATCGTATGCGTGCCGTGTTGTTGTTTATGCGTGCTCCTCCAATCGTTGGGACGTATGCGTACTGTTGATCGGTCATATGATATTGAGATCGAGTAATAAGAGGATGAACTTTCGTTAGTTTCTCTATTGAATACTTGTTTACTTCTATTGTCAATCATCAATAGGGCCTCACGTCTGGCAACGGCTCCAGACCAAGAATCGGACCCCACTGAGACTCAGTGACTAAGCTCGCGGGGCAAACTCAGAGGGGAAAAAG